AGATACAGACAGGAGTAGGCTGCAGCAGCAGCTTTAGCCTCAGCTCACCAGGATTGCTATCTAGCTAGCTGGCTGGCTGACTGGCTAGCCAGCGGAATACCTATCTGAATAGCTAGCTGACTAGCGATGCAGCTATCTAGCTGGCTACCTCAGTAGTTAGCTAGCTTGCTAGCGAGATAACTAGCTAGCTAGGTAGCGATGCAACCATCTACTTGGTCAGCAAGGTAACCAGACAGCTAGCTAGCTAGCTAGCTAGCTAGCTAGCTAGCTGTGGAGGAGAATAGCAAGACCTACCCATGTGTGCTTCCAGTCGCTACCCACTACCATGGCGTAGCGGCAGACAACNGGAGAATAGCAAGACCTACCCATGTGTGCTTCCAGTCGCTACCCACTACCATGGCGTAGCGGCAGACAACGCCTCTGGGGTTCCCCCAAAGTTGAACGGCCTCAACGGCCCCGCTGACTACTAGCAGCAGGTGGTTTTCTGCATCAGCATCAAGCAGAGAAATAAAAATAAAAAGAAAAATATTAATTGAAATACAAACGAGGATATAAAAAATAAAAATTAAAAAAGAAATGAAAACAGAAAAAAAATTTAAAAAGAATTTCTGAGCGGCGTAGAAAAACTTGAATTCTCGTTTTTCTTTCAATTCAACTTTTTTCAACTTTTTTTTTTCAGCTTTCAATTCAAGCCGGTTGAGGCGGTGATAGAATTTAGAGAGAAACGAGGAGAAATTAAGAATAGAAAAGGGAATACAAATAAAAAAATAAATGAAAATAAAAAGAAAATAATAAAATAAATTGAAACAGAGAATTTTGCCCGCAGAAAAAAATAAGAAAGCGTACCAGGAAAGTCAAGGGGAGGCTCAGGTGATGCAGATGCCTGCTGCTGCTGTTGCTGCTGCTGCTGCTGCTGCTGCTGNTGCTGCTGCTGCTGCTGCTGCTGCTGTTGCTGCTGCTGTTGCAGCTGCTGCTGCAGCAACAGCTGCTGCTGCTGCTGCGAAGATTGCTGCTGCAGCATTTCAGCCAAATGATAGTTGAGCTGCTGCTCTGGATATAGCAGAAACCCTCCTTAGAGCAGCAGCAGCAGCAGCAGCAGCAGCAGCAGCAGCGGCAGCTGTCCTTTTGCACATCACCCCAGGCGCGCGGCTAGCCGCCGTTTTCTGGTTGAAGTTTCAAGTAAACAATAACTCAACAGTAGCTAGGGTTTAGGGTTTAGGGTTTAGGGTTTGTTTGGATCCCTCTTTGTTCGTTTGCCCTCGGGTGTGCACTGTGGCTGACGTTTGTCGATGATGAGCGAAAACACCAACCTATAAGAACAAATTCAGTTTCGTTTATTTATAAATTTATTTATAAATTTATTTTTAAATTTATTCATGAATTTATTCTGCTCAGTTGCGGTGCTGTGTTTTGCTTCCTATGGCGACGCGGGGTGGGGGGGGGGG